AATATCTATTTATGTCATTTTGAATCTCTTGAAAGTGATTTTAATTATTTGATGATTTGAATTTAAATGATTTTTATCCAAATCTTACACTTGATACTTGAATTTTTTTATGAATCATGATCTTAATGACTTGAGATTTCTTATGCATGAATCAAATTCTCCTATGTTTCCTTTTGAAGTTTTTATCTTAATCATGATCTTGATTTCTCGATATTTGATACTTGAGAGTTTTTTTATGAATCAAGTTCTCTTATTTGATCTCTTATGTTTCTTTTTGCCATTTACTAAAGAGGAAAATTATCTAAATGAATCATGATTGTTCTTTTGATTACAACTTGAAAGTTTTTTATGAATCAAGATTTTTCCTTTCACTAAAGAAAAGATTCATCAAAATGAATCTTGATTCTTTCACTTGATATTTATGAATTGAGATTTATTATTAATCAAGATTTTTCATTAATTGTCCTCCTATGATTCTTCTTGGTATTTACTAAAGAGATTTATTCAAATTAACCATGATATGTCACTTGATTTCTTGATGTTTATGACTTGAATTTTATTATGTACAATTGCCTTGTATTTATGATTTGTATATCTCATGATATGATTAAATCAGTAATGTAAAAAAAGAGAAAAATTACACTATTGCATTCTTCTCTTCTCTTTGACAATAACAAAGGGGGAGAAAGTCTTGCTAGCTTGCACATCGTAAAGAAAAGAAAAAATTGCTAACTTGTACATTTCAAGGAAAGAAAACTTGCTAACTTGCACATTGCAAAAGAAAGCAAAATTGCTGGTTTGCACATTTCAAGGAAAGAAAACTTGTTAGCTTACACATTGCAAAAGAAATCAAAATTGCTAGGTTGCACATTTCAAAGAAGCAGACACTTGCTATCTTGCATATCTCAAGAGAAAAGTGCTAACTTACTCATCTCAAGAGAAGCAAAACTTGCTAGCCTTCGTACTTCAAAGAGAAGTAACACTTGCCAACTTGTTAGCTTGCATGTTCTAAAGTGATGTAAATTTTGCTAAGTTGCTAACTTGAAAACTTGTTAATTGCACTTTCTTCTTTTTGTTGATGACAAAGGGAGAGAAGTTATGATGATGATCATGCATGGTGTACTTTGATGTTTTGAAATTATGAGTATGTATGAAATACTCATAATTTTAAGATGCATGTAATGATGTGATTAATTGGTTCTTTCAACATTCATGATGCATGCAATGATGAAATAGTCATGATTTTCTGAATTCAAAGTTTCTATCAATATGACATATTGATATGGGGAGTTTAGTTTAAACTCCGTCATCAATTGATCGTCATTATCAAAAAATGAGAGATTATTGAATCTCGAATTTTGATGATGAGATCAGTTGATGAGTTAATGATCTAATCTGTGTTTTGAGTAACACAAGACTAGCTTCAATCAGGGAAGGACAAATCGATTAAAGTAGTGGAATCAGATGTTCGGCTAGAGTAGAACATGTCAAGAGATTAGATGTCAAGCTGAAGGATCGGTCGACATACCGACAAAAGAACTTTGTGCCATGAGTTCGGACATTGGGCCAGAAAGATTAGACATTGTGCCAAGGAGATCGGATGTTGCGGAGGTCAATATGTCGATTGGGCAATACGCCGTAAGAGAGGACAATGCACCGAAAGGATCGAACGAAGCGCTGGATGAACCAATGACATGCCGGACAACATAGTATTATGTTTGTAATTGATTGTGTCTAGATTGAAGTAGTCATGATTGTAATTGAGTTGGTTTTGGGATGAACCCTACTAACTCAATTAGGGCACAATTATGTCTGAGTTAGGGCTATTCTGGCTAAGTGGAAGGCCTATTCAGTCACCCATAGAAGGGTCAAGTGGTGGCACTACCAGACTAGGCAATGGTACCGCCCAAACACAGTCTCCTAGATTGTGTCAAGCAGTGGTAATGCCCAAACATAGTCTCCCAGACTATGTTAGGTGGTGGTACCACCCAGTATCGGTGTCAGTATTAGTGTCAGATTGACAAGCTGTGGTACTGCCCAGTATTGGCGGTGGTACCGCTAATACCCCGAAGACTCGGGATGAGACCATTTTGGCTCCAAATTTGAATCCATTTGGGGCCTATAAATACCTCACTCATTCATGCTCAATCAAGACAATAACTTGAACAAAATAGTATGAAAACTTTGTTGTAATTCCTTGAGATTTCCCCTCTAAGAGTTCTGGTTTTAGTTTAAGAGAGGGGTGAGTAGCTTATAAAGGTTATCTTCTAAACCTGTGAAAATAAGAAAAGGGTTGTAAGAGGGTAGTTGATCTTTGCCCTTTAAAAGAAGATCGATAGTGGAAGAGGAATCGGGAGTGAACGTAGGTCACGACGACCGAACCAGTAGAAAACTCGATTTGTATTTCTGTTATGCTTTTCGTCATTGATATTGTTTTAATTGCTTATTACACTTAGTTCAAGTGAAGCACACTTTCGATATCATTTCCGATAAGGGCTTTATCGAACGAAAGTTTTCAAATCGACGTAATTTTTACGAAAACACTAATTTACCATCCCTCTTAGTACCGATTTCAGTCCTAACATATCCAACTACCCAAGCCTCTTAGATTAGTGGGTCTCTACCCAATAATCTCTTATTGGCTCTTATTAAATCTCATCCTTAAGATCAAATAATTCAGGGGCTTATTGGATATCCAATAAGATAGGGTTTCTAGAGGATATCTCATATCTGAACCTCTACTCATCGCAACATCTACCATATGTGTATGACCCTCTAGGCGCAATATCGAGCAAGCCGTGAGTCATACCTGTCAGAACTCCTTTTGACTCAATGAATTATTATCTCTAAAATAATTCACTTGACTCATCGACTACGGATGTACTAGGCCACTACGCCATAGTCCCTAGACGATACAGGAGAATTTAATCCATTGGACATGTTTGTCCTCAGTTACCATGTATCTATAGTCCCTCATCCATCTAATACTCTAGAGACCGTATATCGGACATGGTGCTATCATGCCCATACGGTTTCTATTGAGTCTCGCTCTAATCGGATTCTCCTAGAGAACTCTTTCTCTCTAAATCCGAATGACCCTAGCTAGGGATTTGTATGAGTAAGAACACATGGGATATTTCTCTCATGACACCGAGAGTAGATGATCCTCTATCGACACTCAATAGCCCTCGTAAGGTTGGCTATCACTCCCGATGATCGGTTGTGCTAGATCTAGAACTTTCAGGCCTATTATAAGTCTGGTACATGACATCCTTAGTGTCTCAAGTCTAAGGACCAAATATACTATTAGGACTACGAAATCATTGTCTGACAATAAGACATCATCAACCATCCAGCATTCCATGAGCGAATCAATCAATAAACTCATTCTCCAATGAGCACCTGCACTGTATCCCTAGTGTCCCCACATGAGCAGCTATGAGATTAGTCGCCTCCATCATATGGACAGGTGTACAACACACCAATCTATCCAATCATCTCGATATTCCTCTCGAGTGACCTATGACTAGGATTATTTAGGGTTTGTGTTTAAAGGCGAATCGGTCTCATTATCATGATCTCATCACGATCTGATTCTCATTACATAGATCATGGACATCACAATATATGCAGTATGTAAGATGATATGATAAAATGTCAAATAATATAATATAAAAAAAGAATACATATCATGTCACACATGTCATCACTCACGTGATTGGCTTGCAGGGCACCTATGATTAGTAGTAATTCCCAATCTCAGATCAGTGATGTCGGCCCATGGCAACGGTGAAGGCGTGGAGTGTCGTTGCGAAATTGTCTCGGAGGAAAACATCGAAATAGAGGATGATGACAAAGGGAAACAACTAGCAAGTAACGATGTCAAGGTAGCGGTTGTCTACCTCTTTGTCTTCTTCCTTTCTCAACAGTTGGGAGGTAGCGACAACGGCGCGGCTGGGAAGCAGCAACAGCAACAGTGAGACTCCTTGTCACTACTCCTTTGGGTCGTTGGTCTTGGTTGCGGCGACAGAATAGGTGAAGTCACGGAGGTCGGGGAGGAGAGGTTTCGGGACTCCTTGGTGGAGTCATACCCGCTTGATACGAGGGTTAGGTTGTGGTTCTTCGCGCTTAGGTTGCCGAAGTTGGTAGTCCGTAGGCTAACGGGAAAGAAAAAGGTTGCGAGAGCACTGAGGGTCCCTACAAGAACCCTAACCCTCTATGCGACGGCGTTGGGAAGCTACACCAATCGCTCGACAATGGCTAAGGAGAGAGATGATGATTGTAGCGACTGGGGTGTGAGATGGCGACGGAGGGATTACAAATGCCGATCGCATGCATGCAATCGCTGCGTGCGCAACTGGAGGCAACAACATTGCCATAAGCGACTACAACAGAATGTGGGATGAGGCTTGGGCTACCACAGTAGAAGATGAGATGAAGAATTGCAGCGAGAATGTCAAGGATCACGACTTTAATACCAGATGATAAAATCCTTAAGATTTTATCATAGAAGAAGAGGAAAAAAAAAGGATGATCACTTCGAGGGGATCGACCTCCTAGGATTTACCAAAGGTTAGAATACTATTTCATAGATAATAAAAAAATAAATACATCCATATTTATAAAGTTTCACCGCTGAATACATTTGGACTCCTAATAAAATAAATAAATCTCATATAAATCCCTAGGACTAAAAAAACTTAATAAAACATGATACAAAACTTGAAAAGTAAAAAAAAATCCTAACAATTCTCTCGGGAAGGGGCTTCACCTAGCATTTGGCAAGATACGTGTCAGAATGAACCTGGAAGTCCAACACGAGTACCTTGAGAAATTTTACTTTTATACTCCTTTACGAGGGGCTTTCCTTTCTTAGACATTTCACATGGCAGAGATGAAGGATGGAATAGAACTATGAATTAATGGCTTGAGTGAAACTTTGACAGCAGGAAAATTCAACAGAATGATTCAATGCATTAATACAACGTAAGCACAAATAGTTTGAGTTACTTCAAGGAACACCACAATTTCACCTCAACTCATCAAAGTATGATACAATTGGAACAGAATCTGTTCTGTGCAACCTTCAGCTCTAGAGACGAAATAATTTTTGTTCCTAAAGGGAAGGAGAGGAAGAATAAACAAAAAATCCTGAATGTATCCAGAAACTGAGAAAACAAACATAATGAGAGAACGTAATACAGGAATATATGCATAAAAGAAAAAGAATCAGTTCAGTTGGTCAACATCTCTAGACTGCATGTAACTCATAAACTGTCTAGGTAACTCTGCAAGAAGTGACTGAATTACTGATACCTCACCACCTGCATGTTAAGCACAACAAAGCTCAGCATTTCCATATATCTCATTCATAGGATCTGGACAAGAAAATTATTTAGCAAAATATTATTGTCCAAGCTTGTCAGGGACATTTATGACTTTGTTGTTGATCCAGGCTTCAGACTGTTACATTACTTGAGAAAAGAATTGTACAGGATGCATATATCCAGTGTTAAGTACATCAAATACAGGGTTAAGTACTGTATCTGATTGATTGTTTGAAAGTTATATACATAATTGTTGTTTCATTATTTTCTGGCATAGCCATCAAGTTTATCTTGTCTAGTCAACACCATTTTCAAAGAACCCATATTGTTGAACCCTTATTCATCATTATGTTCCATGGACTCTACATGAAAAAGAAAAAGGAAGTTTCTAATTTATAAAGATGTTTTATTCTCATCCCAGAAAAAAAATCTGATAGTTCCTTTTATGACAGCTTGTCTAATCAACTATAATTTCTCTCAGATTCAGAGCTTTTACAATAAGGTACAGAAAGGAAAGTTCAAGACGCTTCCATGAAAGCCCGTTTGTGCATCCAAAAGATTACTGTGACCTTCATAGACCACTTGGAGAACAAATTAGTTGTTATGGTATGGAATTGGTGTATGTCAACTGCATAACTTCTGATCTGTAAACAAGACATGACTTTCTTGTATAGTTGATGACTATAAAAAATATAGCCCTATTCCTAGGTGTTCCATGTATTCATTTTAACTAAAGAAAACAAATACATATAACAGATCAGTGTATCACTTCTATGATTCTTTTATATGTCATAAAAGTATGTCACTGTATAGGGCAGTAGTAAAAAGGGGGAATGGAAGATCCACGTGAATAGAGGATAGATGAAGAGTACATACTTTGCGCATCCCGCATAGCAACAAATTGCACTATATCTCGTGATGCAACTCGTCCAGTTGGGCTCTCTATTCGCTCCCCTTTCTCTGCATCTAAGATCTGCAAGAATGAAACCAGCAAACTCAAGAACTATGTTGGGGAATTAAAAACCTATAGTAACCTGTGATGTTTACAGAGAAAACAAAGAACCCAAGGTGTTATAATCTGTTAACAGTGTGACCTTTGCAAGCCAAAAGAATGGGGGAGGAAAAAGGGTAGTGTGGGGTTTCAATAAAAGAATATTCTTCAAGATCAACAGATAAAAGAAGGTTACAATGATCTGACGATAAATTCACCTCCATTTCCTTGAAGTCAGCCCCACCAACTCCAACAATGAGAATTGACAAAGGTAGATCAGATGCCTTCACCAGAGCATCTTTTGTTTCCTGCAAATCAGTAATCACCCCATCCTGGACAAAAGTTTTTGCAGGATTAAAATAAAAGGACTAAAATATACAAGTAAAAAATTTTGATGTAGCATACCGTGACTATCAGCAAAATGAAGTACTTCTGTCTACTGTTACTCAGTGACTGGCCAGCTATTAGTGCAGCAGCACTGATTACATGCCCAAAGAGCGTAGGGCCTGCCAATGATACATTGTGAAGAGCACTTATATAAGCTGACATTATACCTTGGATACCTTCTACCTGAGAACAATTAGACATGGTCAAGTTAAACATCAACTTTCCAAGGTGATAGGTGGATGTCTTAACTTTACTGGTTCCAGACAACAAGGAAAACTATTATCCACAGAGCATGACCAGACAAAGTGATAAAAAGTAAAGCCACCTGGCAAAAGGATGAGTAAAAACCATTTAATTCATTTTTCTTTACAGTTCAGGTTGTTGGAGCACCTCAGGCTGATAAGTGCTTCCATTAAGGTTAAAACAATGAGAAACAGGACCATCTATCGGCCTTGCACCAAAACCCCAGGCAGGAAAGCGCCTATGTGCAACATAAAACTGCAGGACCTCCCCAACTTCTAGAATTGCCTGTAGATACCCAAATAACAAAATGCAAAAAATAGTGCATGCCTTCAGAAGGCAATAGAGGTCAACAAAGAAACTAAAATCATCACTAATATTCATAAACAGTTGCTCACTCTCTGATATGCATTTGGCCGACCTGAGGGGTCAATGTAGTGCAAGGAATCGGGTAGGCGAGGATTTCCATTTGATGCTGACAGAAAAGAAGTCACAAGATTTATGCAAATTTCAAAGTGATGATGTGCAAAGAGAGCAAATAAATAGTCTAAGATAGCTCCAACCAGGTCAAACCACTAATTCATCCATACCTGTAAAATCAATAGCAACCATGAAGTTCATTTCGCAGCCATCTGAGATATAATCCAAGAAAGTCTTACTTTTGCTTTGAGAAAATCGTTCCACAAATATCTGACTTTTCAATACCTACATAGGTTCAGCAATTTCAGAGAGGAAAAAAGTATAATTCAACTAGTACCCAGAATGTAAAAACTTTAGAATATCAGTAAAAGCCATCCTCACCTTATCCTCATAATCGTTACCAACAAGAGTAGGTAAAAATAGATCTTCACCATGCTGACTATGATGAAGCTTTTCCAATTCAGCCAACGATTTTATGACTTTGCTGTCAGTAAAAAGAAAAATCATCATGGCAATACTATTGTTGTAAAGCCCTACTTGGTGCTACTGTATCATGTAACCATAATCAAATGTAACATCAAACAGCATATACATAGTACAACTGCTTCTGCAACATCATATACATAAAGAGATTCACACAACTCTTGTGCATACCCATGTACAATCATTCTTTTTAAATTGTGTGAGAAGGAGAGAGAGAGAGGCTAAACACTCTCTCATGTTTGCCTCTCTCTCTCTCCTTCTCACACAAATTAAAAAGAATGATTGTACATATAAGGAGAGGTGAAAAATCATTACCCAATCAATTCATGTTTGCCATTGCTATTGAAGTTGAAACACTCTATGGCAAGAGGATTTTCCTGCAAAAGCCTTAACCAAATGAGACTGCATAAAGTAACATGATAACTAGAAGAGCATGAAGGTACACATACTTTGCTCACAATCTGTTGAAGATTTACAATCACTGGTCTCCAAATAGGATTGCGGTCATTCTTTTTCACTTCAGTCTTGGAGATTGGAACAAGTACTCCACTCTCCTCTTTTCTAGACATCAATAAGAAAGGGTCCTTTGACAATCAATAAAAGAATAATCAGTAAATTTCATACAGATTCCGTCGAGAGTTTTTCATAAACAAGCAAATGCTTACACTTTTTGAGAAAAGGTCCTTGTTTTCCAACTCCAAACAACGGAACACTATCTCCATGATAGTTTTTGAACCAAGACTCTCATTGACACAAACATTGAGCTTGCCTAACTTTTTCAGATGAGTTTCATTGTTTTCTTTCCGGTCAAGATTTAGTGTTAATGATCTGGTGGGTGTAGTGACCACCTGTAAGAAATAAAAATGGCAAAAACTCTTCATTATGCATTAGCTATAAGTTAGCCATCTTTTGTTAGACATTATCGCTTTACACAACATGAGTTCATCTTCCATTTGACAACGAAACAGAACAAAGGAGACCAACTAACCTTCGTTATACTAAATAAGGATGATCATGATAGCATCATATGCTGCATCATCTGCCACTGCCAGTATAAATCATTATAATACTAAACAATATGACTGTCACATGGACCAGAAACATGGGTTCCTCATAAATTCTGGCTTCGTGCTAGTGCAAATTGGCATATGATCAGTTGGCCCGTTAATATAGACCAAACTTTGGCAAATGTAAGACTTCCAAAGTTTTCATTATCAATAGTAAGCACCATTAAGTCTTTATATACAAGCCCACCGTTGAATTATCTTCAACAGTAGGACTATTGGAGCGCCATAATCTCCAAGGTACCATCTCAGTTTATACATCATTTAGCACTTGTAAGCATACCGCGAAAGGCTTCAGTGGCATTAATATTATCTATGTTGTGGATGCCCAGAATAGTATGTACAGACATTAGCAAAATTACGCATTGTAAGCCATGTTAAAAGGGTTCATCACAAGTTATTGGGTCAATCAACACTGAACTTGGGAAATGATACATTATAGTAAGATAGCAATTACCATTAAATTCATATCTTGCCTAACAAAATGACAATTGCATTCCAAGTAAAATTCCTGTTTCTAAAAGTTCCTCAAGACAACGAAGAGAGAAAAAAAAGACTAACATTGATTCAATCCAGATTCACTTACAGGTTCATTAAGTCAGATTGTTGATTTCCTATGTTGATTAATTTTACATCAACTTTCAGAATTGTCTTTTTTCAGCCTTCAACGTGGTCAAAAAATTTTATTCACCTTCACGTATTTTAGAGTTCAACCTGTACAGTTCAATTGATCAAACATAGTCTCGTCTACTAATCTCATGCTTTATCTTGTCACATCAATAACTTAATCTTACCTATCAGCCCTATGTCATTAGGTGATGTGTCATCACTAATACATAGTCATCCCCTCTTCTACAAACAAAAAGAAAGCAGAAGGATACAGAGAAGATTAGCATGGTCCTTACGCAAGGATGACACACACAAATCAAGAAGCAAAAGGATCCACATTCATCGCAATTGTTGAACTCTTCCTGCAGAATGAACAGCAGCACGACGAGAGACTTTGGTAGGGTTTGGGAGACGTGAATTCTGATGGCTGCAGGTGATTCCTCGCGGACCGCAATGCCCCCCCTCATAGGATACTGTTGATGCAGTGTCACAGTTTCCCCCGCCCTCGCGGGCCCCACAAACCCTGAGTCGCAATTCTCTTCTCACCACTTCCCTCGCCGCGACGTAATTGATGGCGGCATCCATCATCCGATGAACCGCTAGGCCTATCGTTGGTGTTGGGGTGCGTCGCAATCGCCGCATTGTCACAACCTTAGCTGGAATTGCCTAAGGCGTGAGGCACCCTTGCGGCCAAAGACGCGAACTTAGCTTGCGTTGCCTAAGTCGCGAGTTACCCTTGTGGCAAAGACGCGAACTTAGCTTGCGTTGCCTAAGTCGCGCTTCGCCCTTGCGATATTGCTCCGCAAGGATCAGCCCACTTTATAACCTCTCGCAGGTCCCGAAGGACCTGTAAAAGAGAAAGTTGGTTAGATCAAAAGAACGAGCAACGGACAAGTCCCGAAGTCTCGCGAAAAGGGGAAGCTTTACAAGCAATTCGACGAACACCTTGTGTGCACAAGAGAAAAGAGGGAGAGGGAGAAAACAAGGCTTTCAAGGATGAACGAACAGCTGCAAGCCCACAAACAGCCGCTCACCTGGTCCCGGGCGCGAAGACAAGTTCCCGTAAAGGTCACGTGCGAACTTGCGAAAGAGAGTTCAACGCCCGGTATATAACCGAAGCCCCATCCAGCCCTGTGCCACCCGGGTGGTTCTAGGGGTCTGAGATGGCTGACATTTTGGTGAGCGGAGGCAGTTCTCCGCAACCCTCTCGCGGCACGCGAAAACGGAGCTATTTTGGGCTGTTTTGGGGTTGTTTTGCTCGGTTCGGTGAGCGATCGCTTTGTAACGCTGTAGCTTGTTCGAACTTACATATTTACAAGCAAAATGACCCAAAACCAAGAGAAAACATGCTGTGAAGCAGCTGTACATGCAGGTGTGAACGACGAACGGTTCGTTGAATGGAGTTGTTGCGGGTGCGCGACGACCGTTCGTGACATTCTCCCCCACTTAAACTGTCGACGCCCTCGTCGACGCTTGTTGGTAGTTGTTAATGACTTCTTCTTCATGTCGCAGGGCGTCTTCAGACTCCCAACTGGCTTCAGTTCGGGGAAGCTTTCGCCACTTCACCAAGTACTTTGTCTGCTCAGCTCCGTTGGGTAGCTTTATCTTGCGATCCGCCAGAATGGTTTCCACTCGCTTCTCGTAGGAGGCTGTGATGGGAGGTAGCCGAGTTAAAATACTTCGGGAGGCATCTTGCGGATCCGAATGGTAGGCTTTTAGGTTGCTGGCGTGAAGAACGTTGTGAATTTTGAACCACGCCGGCAGCTGCAACTTGTAAGAGACGTTGCCTACCCTGTTGATAATTGGGAAGGGCCCTTCATACTTGCGCACCAATCCTTTGTGGACTCTGTTCCTAAAGAATTGGAGTGATGCTGGTTGGAGCTTTACCAACACCAAATCGCCGACTTTAAACTCTTGCGGTCGCCTTCCCAAGTCGGCCCACTTCTTCATCCTTTTTGCCGCCTTCTCCAAGTAAGCCCGCGCAATATCTGCATTTCGATGCCACTCCTTTGCGAAATGATAGGCTGATGGACTACTCCCAATATACCCAATTGCCATGGTGTGCGGAGTCGACGGTTGTTGTCCTGTGATAATTTCGAAGGGGCTCTTGTTGGATGTAGAGCTCCGCTGCAAGTTGTAGGAGAATTGGGCAATGTCCAACAGCTTCACCCAATCTCGTTGATTGGCATTCACGTAGTGCCGGAGATATTGCTCCAAGAGCGAGTTTATTCTTTCAGTCTGGCCATCCGTCTGGGGGTGGAGGCTTGTAGAGAAGTATAACTTTGACCCCAACAATTTGAATAGCTCGGTCCGGAATCGTCCCAGGAACGGAGCGTCTCGATCGCTAATGATATTGTGCGGGACTCCCCAATACTTCACTACATCCTTCATCATCAGCTTGGCCGCCTCTTCTGCTGAACAGTGTAGGGGAGCAGCGATGAAAGTTGCATACTTTGAAAACCGATCGACCACCACGAGTATCGATCCGAGTCCCCCTACAGGTGGCAAGCTAGATATTAAGTCCAAGGAAATGCTCTCCCACGGCCTTTCTGGTACGAGCAACAGCTCCAAAAGTCCCACCGGCTTCCGCTGCTCCACCTTGTCTTGTTGGCAACTAAGGCATGTTCGAACATGTTCCTCCACATCAATCCCCTCTTCGGCCAGTAGAAGGCCCTCTCCACGAGAGCTAACGTTCTGTGAATGCCTGGGTGTCCAGCCCAAAGGGAATCGTAACACTCTTTTAAGAACTCACGCCTTAAATTGTCCACTCGGGGAACATAAACCCTATTCCCTTTTGTGTAAACAAGTCCCTCCTGGACCCAAAATCGCCGTGCCTTGCCTTCTTTGATGAGCTGCATCAGGATAACTGCCTGGGGATCACTATACAATCCATCCCTGATTCGGGAAAGGAAGTTGGAGTGCAACTGACTTGCTTGGCCTCTGCCCTCCAGTTGTACGGCATTCACGCATTCCACTTTCCGACTCAGCGCATCGGCCACGACATTCGCCTTCCCGGGCTTGTACTTCATTGCCATATCAAATTCAGCCAGGAAGTCCTGCCATCGCGCTTGCTTTGGGGAGAGCTTCTTCTGAGTTTAGAAATAGCTCAGGGCGATGTTGTCCGTCCTCAGCACAAATCGCGACCCGAGGAGGTAGTGTCGCCAAACTCGTAAACAGTGGATCACTGCTGTCATCTCCTTCTCATGCACTGGATACCGCCGCTCGGTCTCGTTGAGTTTGCGGCTTTCGTAGGCCACTGGATGACCCTCCTGTATGAGTACCCCCCCAATAGCGAAGTCCGAAGCATCTGTATGGACTTCAAAGGGCTCTCCATAGTTCGGCAATTTAAGCACCGGTCCTTCCAGAACAACAGCCTTCAGATCTTGGAATGCTATCTCACATTTGTCCGACCACTTCCATAGCTGCTCCTTCAGCAACTCCGTCAGTGGGGTTGCTCGCTTCGAATATCCCGCTATGAAGCGTCGATAGTAATTGACGAAACCAAGGAAGGATCTCAATTCTGGCACCTTCTTTGGAGTTCGTCATTCCGCAACCGATTGCACCTTCGACTTATCCATCCGAATGGAGCCATCACCGATTCGATGCCCCAAGAATAAGATCTCAGTTTGAGCAAAGTAGCATTTCTCCCTTTTCACAAACAAAGTGTTCTCCCTGAGAACCTTGAAAATAGTCCGAAGGTGCTTGACGTGCTCCTCGAGCGTTTGACTGTAGACGACGATATCGTCCAGGTAGACGACCACGAACTTATCCAAATACTCCTTGAATAGCTGGTTCATGAGAGTACAGAATGTGGCCGGAGAGTTGGTTAAGCCGAAAGGCATCACCAAGAACTCAAACGTTCCATACCTGGTCACACAGGTAGTCTTCGCTTCGTCACCTTCAGCAATGCGCACCTGCCAATACCCCGACCGAAGGTCGAGTTTTGAGAAATACTTAGCCTTGCCCAATTGGTCGAACAAGTCCGCGATGAGCGGGATGGGATACTTGTTCTTCACTCTTACTTTGTTGAGGGCTCGGTAGTCGATGCATAATCGGAGGCTCCCATCTTGTTTCTTCTGGAAGAGAACTGGAGCTCCGAAAGGTGCTTTAGAGCTGCGGATGAGACCACCGCTTAGCAGTTCACCTAACTGCTTCCTGAGTTCTGCCAACTCTGG